TGCATTTACAATGTCGCCAAAAACTTTATTAAATAAGGTGAAAAATAAATATTCGAATTGCCCTAAGGGCGTTTTAAATGCAGCATATTTTGTGCAAATGTATGTAACAGGCACAAGGAAGCATCTCCGACCCCATAAAGTGTATATATTCTTGATCAGCATCAACAGCCGAGTCGATCTAGCCATGTCCGTCCGTCCGTATGTATGAACGCAAGGATCTCAGAACTTATAAGAGCTGGAGACTTTAAATTTTAGCTGTTGGTTTTGCCTCGTTTCCAAGTAATCGATTAAAATCGATATCGGAATCTTTTTTTTTTTTTTTTAGCAATTTTGGTAAATAATAAGAGCTTAAGTCACCAAATTTGACATGTAGCTTTTAAAATAGTATATATGTATATATCAAGTATCTTTCCTTTTATAGCTATCACCACCTCCCCACTACTACCTTATAGCTATAAATCAAGTAAATAAGCTTATTTATGCTGCCCACCATTATAAGCCAAAATTAAAATGCAATTTACTTTTTGAAAAAACACAAATATTCTATAGCACAATAAGATGTACTGTAGAAAATTTCATCAAATTCGGTTAACAGAAATGATTAAAGTAAACGTGTTTTGGCTTTCCTCGTATCAGCGGCAGCACGCGAAAATTTCAAAAACTTTTGTATACATGTACACACATGTATATCATGCGCGTCTGCTTTGAATTCTATCAACAGCATTGCAATAGCGATTGTATTATTTTCTGTGCTGCTATTTTAATTAGGTTATTTCTCATTAGGACTCAATTGTTGGTGTGGCTGTTGAGTAGAAGCGGCGGCATGAAGTGCATGAAGTTCTTTGGGCTTGTGTGGCTGTTGAGCAGCAAGTAATTCGGCCAGTTGAAAGTACAAACCCTGCCAAGGGAACTTTTTTTTTAATTGATCTTTATTACTAATGCAAACGAACGCGTAGCGCGCGCTGCATTTGGTGTTGGAATAAGAGGGTTTAGGGTAAGCCCTAGTCGGGAGCACCCGACTAGAACCTCGTACTTGTTTAAGTCTAATTTAGAAAAGATTTTTTTTAATAACTCGTCCATTTTAAATTTCGTCTATTAATGGTATTGGATATTTTTCCTTTGTAGTCTAGTCCTATTATTTAGTTGTCTGTAGTCTAGAAACAACCCAAACCCGCATGTCTTTTTTTTTAACTGACCCTGTTGGCCGTTAAATACCGAATGCCACACCTTCATCTATGATTTTTTGAACAATTGGCACTTTCTAGTACGATAATCATCGTGGCACATAGCTAAACGCTTTGCTATCTTCAATTTCAAAACCCATTTCACACTTTATCGCTCTATATGTCGTAGTCATTTTCAATAAGCCCCACCAGCTCGAATTTTCTTTTAAAGTTTACATAATACATATAAACTTTCGATTTTTCTATTAAACCGTTTAACGAATTTAATTTTGGTTTTTTTTTTCAAGAAATCTGCCTAATATAATCGTAAATCCCATAGATTTATTGTCAACCAACATAAGCTTAACTTTTATATTTTTATTAAAAACTAAATAAAACATTGTACATATCCATATATTTTCAGTTTACTTCCATTAATTCCAACATAACTTCTACTTAAATTAATTGTGTGTCGCACATATGCCCGTTTTATAAAGCTGATGAAGCAAACCTCCTTTCTTTATGGTTTGAAAAACTTAGTTTTAAGATCAACCCCTTTTCTTAAAGTCGGCCGCTTTTCTTACCTAGTATCGAAGCACACCGTTGAATTTAATGTCACACTCAAATATTGGTAATAACTCTTCGACTATTTCTAATTGTATTTTGTTCTTTGCATTATTTGCCTAGTTTTGTTGTGTTCTTAAGTTTTTCAGTTTATGCTCTAATTGCACGGAATCAATCCCAGTAAAATGGTCTTCTTCGCTTTTGTGTTTTGCTTCTTGTTGCCATCTGCCTCCTCTATATGGCCCTCTGCCTGCTCTGCGTTGTTATGGACGTCTGCCTCTAAGATGTTATTGTTGTGGCCCTCTGCCTGCTCTGCGTTGTGGCTGCGGTCGTCTGCCTCGTCTACGTTGTTGTTGTTGTTGCGGCCGTCTGCCTCTTATGCGTTATTGTTGCTTTCTAACGAAATTACGCCATTTTTTAAAAGCAATGCGTCGATTCGATAATTTTCCATGTGAGGCCCTGTAGTCTTTAAATTAAAATATTTTTTGTGCCGCTTGTCTTCAAATTATTTGATATGCACAGGGCCTTTAAGTCTTCGATTAAAAGCTATATTAATTCCGTTGCTGACAAGTGCATGTCCCAGTTTAGTGTTTTCTTGTTTATTTCTTCTGGCGTGCTTAAGACCTTTTCGGATAATTGTAGGATGTATTTAGATATCTGAATTGGTTGTTTTATTTCACAATACATTTATTATTTAGTTTTCTTTTCCAAATCTAGCTTGCTCGCCGACACCTGGAAATCGCGTTTTCAAGCTTGTGTCTTCCTTTCTTGCCTTATATAAATATCGATTTTTAACATGAGTTCTAGCCTTTAAAATCGCTTGGGTCCTACAAACGGACGCTCGGACAAACAGGCAGCTAAATTGATTCGGCGGTTGATGACATTGTCGAAGATGCTTCCTTCTTCTTGTTTCAATATACATCGATGGGTTTTTAAAAAAAAATCGGTCCTTCGGACTTCCGTTGCACTAGTTAAGGAAAGACAAGTTAAGGCAACGTTTTTTTTTTATACCTTTGCAGAGGGTATAATAATTTTGTCGTGAAATGTGTAACGCATAGAAGGAGACATCTCCGATAAGTATATATATTCTTGATCAGTATCAACAGCCGAGTCGATATAGCCATGTTCGTCTGTCTGTTTCTATGCAAACTATCGTCATGAAACTTTGCAGAAGTCCCTCTTTCGGAACCAGCTGGATCGGATCACTATATCATATAGCTGTCATAGGGACGATCGGTCGAAGAATAGGTTCTTATATGAACAACTTTTTTGTTTAATAAGATATCTTGACCAAACTCGGCATTTATTAGTTCCACTATGCTCCCTACATATATTTAAAATCGTATTTTAATCGGAACACTATACCATATAGCTGTCATAGGAGTTATCGGTCGAAAATTAAGTTCTTGTATGGCAACATATTTTGATATCCAAGATATTTTTATCAAACTCAGCATTTACGAGCTTCACTACTCACATATCTGCAAAACCGTAAGGCAAATATCTGCAAGGGTATTAAATCTTCGGCGTACCGAAGATAATATTTTTTTCTAGTTGTTATAGTAATTGACTCGTTTGCATCAAAATCCCTTATCATTTAATCTCAACAACATTCATCAGTTTCTCTGCGCACTTTTATTCTCAAAGCAAATTGAAAATTGTAAAAAGAAATAATTGTTTATTTAAAGATTTTTATTTCTATGCCCCGAACCCATTGAAAATGTGTAAAAAGTTTGTATTGGGTTTGTAAAAATATATGTAACAGGCAGAAGGAAGCATATCCGACATCATAAAGAGAATATATTTCTTGTCAGAGTCAAGTCGATTTAGCCATGTCCATCTGTATGTATGAATACACGCATCGATCTCAGAACCTATAGAAACTAGTAGTTGACATTTTAAACGTAGACCCTTTTAGTGCCCGCGCTGGGCGAAATGGTTTCCGGTCATTGACAACTTGTTCCGTTCAAAGCAATAAAATTCAATATTGAACCTTTTGTTTTGCTCAAAAAGTATTAACTCACAAGTTTGACGCTATATTTTTTATGCATTCCGCCCCTTATCCCGAAAAATCAAAAAATGTTCAATTTTAAGACTGTTGCCGCGAGCTGCGTATAATTTTGGTAAAATAGGTTCAGGGTATGCTCTCATCGGGTACTTCCCACTAAAGCACTCTTACTTATTTTACATTAGTATGCAAAACCGAATGGGATTTAGCATTTATTTTCATCATACATATTTAATATATCAAATACACTTTAAAAGCATGTGTATTTATTGTAATTTTTACTTTGTCATAACTATATTTTATTGTCCTTGTAGGGCAATCTCTACTAAAGATTATTATTTTCACTGTAGTTGCCCAAGTGTAGAAAAGTCGCCAATGAAGTTGCGGTCTTCAACTTATATCTAAGAATCTTTTTAAAAATTTATTTCACTTTTATGTTTAGTGTCGGATCGTCTCAAACTTATTTTAGAGATCAGTGGGAAAATTTGTTTGATACGTGTTTTTGATAGGTCCACCGCTCTTGGATGGCACATGAAGGTGGTCAAAGGTTTAATAATAATTTTCATCACAAGACTAGCATGGGCGAAAACCTTTGGAGCCATTTTCTTGTTCCTTATTCGATGGACTTTAAACATATATTCAAATAGACACGCTGTTCAAAATATTAGATTTAAATTTTCCATGGGCGGGAACTGGGTGAGGCATTCCCGGTAAGTCTTATATAAAATGTATCTAGTGCCGGCTAGAAGGTAATACTATCTACAAAGTTTTATTTCCAGTTTATGAGGTAAACTTTATGTCGGCTGTGCCACGTAAAATTTGTATTGGAAGCAATAGTCATGTGCTACTATATTCCGCTTTTGAAACCAGAAAAGTGGACCTGTGTTGATCAATTTTGCACACAGAAAGAATTCAAAAATTAAACATTAAATCGAAAAGACCTGTCCCAATTTAATGATGTACTTTATTCTACACTTTAGCAAACTATAATATCTAGTGCTTTTTTTGAGATAGCGAAAATAATGTTCTGTTCTAAAGCTTTTAAAAATTAACCCCAATTAAAATATAATATATGTCTGTGTGTTTCCTTATTAATTGTTTTATTTTTAAATAAAAGTATTTTTCCTTCAATTTTATAGCTATAAAAAAGCGGAAATTATAGCCGAAAATTAATACTAACATCAAAGAAATAAAAAAAATATATATATATATATATATATATATATATATATATATATATATATATTTAACTATATTAAAAAGTCGACCATATGCAGATATTACACTAGCTTATTTCATGCTAAAACATCTTTATAAACGAAATGGCAGCGACAAATAAAGAAATTTTTGATAAAACACAGTTTTCAGAGCTGTTATCAAAATTGTCCTTAAAAGATGTGTTGAAACTTGAATTTCGAGGTGAAAATGATAACACGTTGGAAGCTATGGTTATTTGTGAAGACCAACAGAAAAAAATGTATTTATGTAAGGTTTGCAAAGTATTTCAATATGGAGAAAAGAATTTATTTAGCCATCTTGGTGGAAAGAAACATTGTTGTAAAATGGAATCAGTTAAGCAATTGTACCTTTCGACGGATAAAGGGCATACGATTGTTGCAAAAAAATGCAAGAATGTAAATAACATAACAAAATCAAACCTTGCTGAGAACTTGAAAGATAAGGAAAAAATTAAAAAATCCTGTGATTTTAAGAATAAATCAGAGTCCTCTATTAAGCCAAAAAATATACAATATAAAACGGAACGTGAACAATTAATATTAAAACCAGCAATCAACAATGTAATTGGTGCTAAATCTACTGGAATTGATGCCACAAAAACAATTTCATCGAATGCCACTATAAATCATGTATCGAACGAAGAGCTGGCGCAAAAATTAATAACGTCTGTTGATCAGAAAACAATTCCAGCAAAAGGTGATTGCGCTAAGAAAAAAATGATTACTATAAACCAACCTGGGGGGAAAAAAATACTCGGATGTGAAGATAGCACTGTAAAATGCAGAAGTGATAAATTGAAAACCTCAGCATGTTTTATAAAGAATAAATATGAAAGCGAATTAAAGAACAACATAATTTTGCAATCACATGTTACAGAGAAAAAGCACGACGAAAAGTTGGATCCAAGCACAAAAACAGATTCTGTCTATGCGATAAAATCTGCTGCCCAATCTAATATTGTAATAAATCCACTTTCAATATCAATATCAAAAACCACAAAAATTTCTTGTGTTCCAATATCAAAATTGATATGTTCAAAGCTGACTACGGAAAATAACCATAAAATTGACCACACATTATCTGGATTTAAAGCTTCAAAAGATATTTTGAATTCTATCCACAAAGAAGATAAATGTGATGAAATCGACACTATTACACAAAATTTTAAAACGGGAAAGGTAAACATCCAAAACAGTAATATTTATTTCCCATCATTATCCGATTCACAAAATTCCACTTTTGAATCTATGTCAAACATAACTACAATCTTGGGACTTTTAGGAGTTGAGTACGTTATCAAAATTGTAAAAAATCTAAAAGATGGAGCTCCAAAATTTTTATGCAGCTTATGTAATATTACTACCGATGAGTTATCAATGCATAATCATATACTAAGCTACAATCATCGTTTAAAATTTTGTGAAAAACATTTTCCAACAGCGATTCGGCAGTACAGACAATATATTTCACATGTACCGGAGCATCATGTTTATAAAATATTAGCTCCAATATTAGAAAAATTGGCAATAGCCATTGAAAAGCACCACGGCCGCGAAACTGCATATCTTTGCTACGAATACTCTTTTACTAAAAATCGGCAAAATATTGTTTCAACCGTTCTTAATCGCAGACATGCATCAGAAGTGTTAGGTCCTGCATTTACTCATGTTATAGATTCCAAAGATGTGGATTTCTTAGTTGAAAATGCTATTACAAACAAATTGCCAATCACAAAGAGTAACATTGTTTTTAACAAGGTCATATTAAACACTGTCAACGACCCTAATAATATAATGATGACTCAAAATGAAATAGCCAACCTTGTAAATTTGAATGAAGTTAAAAGAATAGAAATTGTCGACGATGAAACTCATAAACGAATGGTTGATATGTTTTTAAGAGATACCAGAAATACTCAAACACTGCGTCATAAGCAAACGTCTCGAATTTCTAAACGTAGTCGATCGAGATCAAGCTCTTCTGACCGAAAACGAAGACGATCAATTCCTTTATCTATTTCCCAATGGAATATTGAACGTAAATCGTTGTCCCCATTAAGGGATGGTGACATTTGGCAAGCTTATCGGCACATGGTTGATCAAAGTGTACGCAAATTAAATACAACGTTTGAGTTATATAAATCAGATCCTGAAGAACATCCTCTTTATAAAGAAGAGTGGCAAAAATTCTGGAAGCGGCGGAAAGACGAACTAATTGCCGCTGGCATAAACCATCGGTCTTACAATTATCAAAATGAATGGATCCTGTTTTTCAACGCGCGCTTGGAAGAACTCTATAATCAAGACGTTGAGTACATTAAAATTAAGTGTCGTGAAAGGTTATGTTTGCCAATGATTAATGACGAATTATTAAACTCAAAATATCATGTTCACATTGATGATAATTTCTTTGACAGTTTTGGTCCCATTAAAAACAATGAAAATGGCGATAAATTTAATATAAAATTTAATGAAAGTGCAGGCAACATAAATGTTATCCATGTGCTTCGACTATTAACTGCTTTAGAGGATCATTTGGGAAGCTTGGGCCCTAGCATTACGGAATTATTGGCTAAAGCACTGCAAATTTTTAAACTGCATCCAGATAAAGCCAATATTTTACTTCTCACTAGTGAAAATTGTGCTATCTTAGAAACGGCAAAGGAAAAGTTTACAGGTTTAATAATTTCCAAAATGTTGGATCCAGTTCAGGAACGTGCTTTAAAAAAGGCAATCAATGATACCGAACAATTATTAATTTTTGCAACAAATAAACGGACAGAATTAGAATGCTGCAATACAGAGGTCAATGTTGGTAATCTTGAATTTTTACAGAACTCTCTTAGTAGGGTGAATACTAATAAATTAAAAAAAAAACAAGATCGCGTAGATACAATAGAACTTGCGTCTAAGCTGGCTACGTCATTGATATCTCAAGGAAAAACAAGTATTAACCAAGAACAGCTACAACAAATTGTTCAAGTCTATTCTCTGATTGAGAAGAAGAAGCATAGAGAGTCGACCTCGTCTACTTGATCCGTTAGTAGTTTAGTTAATCGTTAATCACCTCATTCTACATATAAACGAGAATATCTCAAACGTATAACGAACGTATAATTTAAATTATTACGACGATCGTGCTGGCTTCATTTAAAATATTTACAGTGAATTGCCGAAATCTACATTATTTGTCGTGAAACAAAATTTGAACACTAGTGCAATTTACTTATCTGCAAATATGGATCGCAAAAATAACATAAATATTAAAATAATAAAAAAAACTGAATTCCTAAGCAACGTGAAAGACTCCCAGTACAATCAATACGACTGCAAAAAGTTTGACAACGGAGAATAAATAGTTCATTTAAATTTTGTTTTTAAAAATAAAAGGAACCAATCATCTCTATGTGGACAACAATTATTGGTCTATTCCAACTGATATGAGTACTGGAGGGAACACTATCTGGATGTAATGCTATGAGTTTAAGATTAGATATTCATATTATTTTAATGTTATGGATTGCAATTTATTTAAACTATTGTTTCCAAATGTATATTTAACCATGTACATAAAATTAATGTGTTATGTAAAACTATAATATAAAAAAAAAACAATAAATTAATGTGTTAATTTAAAAAAAAAGTGTTATTTTTAAGTGAACATTTGCAAATTTTCCTAACATTTACGCCTCTAGTTTAAAATATATTATTAAAGTGATAATATGATAATAGAATGCCATAAACTTTGAATACTTAAATGTATATATGAAAAATACATTTTTTTTTTGCTAACAAATTCATGTAATAATAATAATTATCATAAAAACCACTTAATTGTTTTATTTCGCACTAGCAGATATAAGGCGGACTTTAATAATTCTAAACATGCCAGAGTCTCGGAAGTTGTTTGTTGTTAACATAAGTGCCAATAGTTTCAACTACAAGATAACGCAAAGATTTGAAAGTGCTGAAAATGATAAACCAAAGAAATTTCTCATTCATATAGAAAAATATATTGGTATGTGTGAATATCAGCGTCCAATTACACACGGATAGTAGTGGGTGAAAAGAGTTAAGACAAACAAGTAAGAGGCTCTAGACGCGAGTACGCTGAACCCTCTTCTACCAGCATCAAATGCAGGTCGCGCGACGTGCTCGTTTGCTTTAGCAGTAATAAAAATTAAATTAAAAAACAAAATAGTTCCACCAATTCACCCTTAGCGAGAATAAAACGAAGTCAAATAACCACACATACACACAGTACAGAATACAATACAATCCCAGTCGCAATGCTGTTGATAGAAATCAATTAAAACGCGTAAGAATGTGTGCAAATGTATACAGAAATTCTAGCAATTTGTGTTAGCTGCCCCAACCACGTGGGCAGCCAAAACACAACTTAATTTAATAATTTCTGTATTCCTTAACCTATATTGATGAAATTTTCAACAGTAGATCTTATTGTACTATAGACTATTAGTGTATTGAATTATAGCTATGTGGTGGTAGCGGGGTGGTGGCGATAACTATATAATGAGGATACTTTACCTGTTCTATTCTAGAAGCTGTGTGTCAAGTTTGGTGACTATAGCTCTTATAACTTACGTGATTGGCTCAAAAAACAAGATTTTGATATCGATTTTTATCGATTAGTTGGAAACGGGGAAAGTTATCGAGTATCGGAGGCAAACTCGTACTGCGCGGCCACAAGGAGGAACTATATTCAAGTCTCTAGCTCTGAGATCCCTGCACCCATACATACGGACAGACTGACGGACTTTATGGGGTCGGAGATAATGCTTCATATTGCTTGTTACATGCATTTGCACAAATACATTTTACCCCTTTTACCAATTTTTAATGGATGCAGCGTATAAAAATCGAAGTCGAGAAAACAAGAGTTTGTCTCTGCAGCGGCTGCCTCGTTGACTTTTTTTGGGTCCTTTTCGTAAATTAAAAAAAAAATACTAAAAAAATGTAATCCAAAACGACTTTTCTGATCTAAGTGCCGATGTCTTGCGCACCATTCTGCACAAACGACTTGACTGAGTCTGCAAAAGAATACAATAAAAAACTATTCCTCTCTATATATAAAACAGTTTGTCCTGACTGACTGACTGATTGGTGATCAACGCACTGCCCAAACCGTAAGAGCTAGGAAGCTGAAATTTTCACTGTAGTTACCTTATGTGATGTAGGTGCACGTTTCGGGAAATTCCACCCGCAAGTGTGGAAAAATCGCGAAAAACGTTTGTATGTAACTTTTGTGTTTACCATCCGATCGGCCTCAAACTTATTTTCAAAGATCCCTTGTTCAAATTCATTTGAGGGGTGTTTCACTTTTAGGAAAATCCATTCATCCTTGGTGGAAATACAGGTCAAAGATTTGGTGGGTGACGTTTCGCGCTCAAATTCATTTCCAGAGATCTATAAGAAAAATTATTCGAGACGTGTTTCACATTTTGCGCAAAAAATCTATACCTTCATTTTCAAAGCTTTTTGAAAACATTGATTTAATAACATACGTACCACGGGCAAGGCCGGGTTATACCCGTTAGTAATTAATAAAACAAAACGAATTAAAATAGCAGCATACGCACATAGTTCAGAAAACAATACAATCGCAATTGCATTGCTCTTGATAGAATTCAATAACAATGAACATGTATACAGAAATTCTTCTAATCTGAAGTTTTGTGACTAGCTCTAAAAACCTAAGAGATTTGCTCAAAAACCAGGGTTTCGATATCTATTTTTTTTCGATCAGGAACGGGGCAAGTTATCGATTATCGGAAACAAACTTTTTCTGCGATATAGATTCTTTTAGATTCTTTGGGGTCTACTTCAATTTGCAGCTTATTCCTAATTTCATTTCTCGTGTCTAAATTACAATAGCTTGTACCAAGTATTCTCCACTAAACCCTCTTTTTCAATAATTAATTATTTTCTTTCAGGGAATTCATTGACTACGCCAAGCTAGGGCCATATACAGGATGGGCCGAAAAATCCCCCGCCCCTCCCATCGGGTCATTGATTTCCCATCCCCAATTAAAATATTAAGGAAAGGACCCTTACAAAATAACGTGAACTTCTGGAGTTCCAGCTGTACTTACCCACTCATGTATTTACTTATTTATTTTATGCGCATTCCCGCTTGTGCATTCGCATACCGTTGCAATCAGGGCGCTGAACTGAAGCAATTTTAAGCCAATGCGGAAGTTATTAAGAACAAAATTAGTACGTGTGGGAGGCACTCGCTAAGTTATACCCACATACAGTTATGCGATCCATTAGACACAAATGAGAGAATCGAGAGCAGTGAGCAATTCTGGAGTTCCAGCTGTACTTACCCACTCATGTATTTACTTATTTATTTTATGCGCATTCCTGCTTGTGCGCTCGCATACCGTTGCAATCAGGGCGCTGAACTGAAGCAATTTTAAGCCAATGCGGAAGTTATTAAGAACAAAATTATTACGTGCGAGAGGCACTCCTTAAGTTATACCCACAAACAGTTATGCGATCCATTAGACACAAATGAGAGAATCGAGAGCAGTGAGCAATTCGGTAGTAGAAGCGAAATGGAAAAGGTCAGCAAAACATATTTGATTTCTGAAAGCGCATCGAAGTCGCTGTGGAACCCAACACTTAAAATCGGTCTTGATTTTTAGTTTGAGCATCTCATCTATATGTTCTATGGTTAGAGGTTGTAGCCTCCCAGACTGTTCGCTGGGCATGTCCATTGCTGGGAGAAAACAACGTTTTAAGACATGGCAAGGCCTTGTTTAGTCATTCTCATTGGTGTATACCAAGAGGTGATAGAAAATTTGTAACATTTTGATAATAAACTAAATTTAATTCTATTGAAAATTATGAATTTCATGTATTATTCCCAAAGAAGGCCGTGGTATATAAACACAATATACGTTGCTGATATATGCAGAGCAAAATATGTCGCTGAACTTTTCAGCAGGACAACGATCCTAGACATACTTCTAATCTCAGAAGAGAATGGTATACTTGTGATTTAAATAAAATCCTAATGAAAATCTAGTGAGTGAAGAACCAGATATGGGACTAAGTACAAAGTTCGAATTAAAAATTACCTAGACCACCAAAATATACATTCTAACATACAAAAAAGAACAAAAATAAGTAAAATAGAATGCAAAGAAGCATACATGCCGCGTGCTGCACACTTTACACAGTGGCTGGGCTTCTTCCCTGATCCACACTCTATTGGAAAAACACGTTAACAAAAATTAGCTTATAAATCCAAAGATTTCATCGAGATATCTAAATGAAACAAGAACATCGAATACTGATGCTTCAATTAAATACCTATTTATTTGATGTAATTTGAGAATGCATACGAGCTTATAGTATGTTTATTAATACGTGGATACTCATACACACATATGTACATACACATCAACTTAAACATATTTACCGTTGTTAATTAAAGGGAGCATTACTAAACAAGTAACAGGTTCTAGTCGGGAGCTCCCGACTAGAGGATACCCTGAACCCTCTTCTTCCAGCACGAAATACTGCTTGCGCTACGCGCTCGTTTGCTTTAGTAATAAAGATCAATTAAAAAAAAAACGTTTCCTTGGCAGGGTTCGAACTCGCAAGTAACCGCACTACTGCCGTCGCCTCTACTCAACAGCCATACCAGCCAAAAAAAAAAATATATATATCCCTCGGTAGGTCTGGAACTAGCAGCAGACCACACTACCTGCCCCCGCCTCTACCCAACAGCCACACCAATTATTGAGTCTTAATGAGAAAAAAACTAATTGAAATAGCAGCACAGAAAACAATACAATCGCAATTGCAATGCTGTTGATAGAATTCAAAGAAAACGCGCTAGCTGCCGCAAACACGTGCGCAGCCGAAACACATTTTCTTTTCTGTTTCTTACCCGATCTTGATGTAATTTTCATCAGTAGTTCTTATCGTACTTTAAAATATTCGTGTATTCTCACAAATGCATTTAAATTGTGGCTTAGTATATTGGTGGGCAGCATATGTAAATTGGTTTATTTACTCGATTTATTTTTGTGGTAGCGGGGAGGTGGTGATGGGTATAAAATGAAAGATACTGATATATAATACTATTCTAGAAGCTACATGTCAATTTTGGTGACTCCAGCTCTTATTATTTACCCAATTGCCAAAAAAACAGTATTTAGATATCGATTTTTATCGATTACTTGGAAACGGGGCAAGTTATGGAATATCGGAAACAAACTCGATCTGCGCGGGCACTAGGAGGACCTACAGCTAAAATTTCAAGTCTCTAGCTCTTAAAGGTTC